TCACATGAATTTGAAGACCTTTAGTGACTGTATTTGTTTCGAGGAAATGATGCAAGAAAGTGCAATGATGCTTTAGGCGAATTAAAGCATTAGTTTCATTGCGTAAAGTTTTGAATGTTTTCTGTATTTGTTGAGACATCGTCTCCATTCTAAGAGATACGGCAACAATTTAAATATAAGAAGGAAACAATGGAACGGATACAGTAACACTACATAAATACAAGACAGAAAAGGGTGTTAGATCACACCAAAGGTAGATCGAGCCATACGAGGTAGGTAATATAAAGAATACAAATCATATGGCGAATAACAACCCTCTCAAGCGTACTGGATCCACCAAGGGATCACGTCTGTCAGGGATTAATTAAAATAGATGCAATAAACTGACGACGAACAGTACGAAACTAGTAACTAACTAGCCTAAGCGCTTTCGACTCTTAATGAGTCTTTTTCAAAGGCAAATACAAAACATAGTTACGACAAACAAATAAACACAAAAACGTTGCGTTTGTAAACCTCTACATTTCTATCTTCACATGTGTTAAAACTATAAATACAACCAGCTTGTGTAGACTAGTTGCGGAAACTGAAAACGTTGTATAATTCCCTAAAAGTCTACAAGCCAAAGCGACATCTATTTTTATTTTGTGTACATATGTAACGCAGATTATATCCCGGATATTTGGTTCTATACCGGTTATTCTTATAGTAAAAATTGAAGGATAAGAAGATTTAGAAAATGTTAAATTCTACTAGTGCATAGTTTTCATTTTCTAGTCTTCTTGGTTTAGACCGCTTGGTTTCAATGTTCTAAGGCGGCGTATCCAGTATGATTCCTTTTCCTTCCTGGTTTCGGAACTCCAGCTGTGGTTGTTGGCAATAGTTTTGTATTTGCCTTTGAAAAAGACTCATTAAGAGTCGAAAGCGCTTAGGCTAGTTAGTTACTAGTTTCGTACTGTTCGTCGTCAGTTTATTGCATCTATTTTAATTAATCCCTGACAGACGTGATCCCTTGGTGGATCCAGTACGCTTGAGAGGGTTGTTATTCGCCATATGATTTGTATTCTTTATATTACCTACCTCGTATGGCTCGATCTACCTTTGGTGTGATCTAACACCCTTTTCTGTCTTGTATTTATGTAGTGTTACTGTATCCGTTCCATTGTTTCCTTCTTATATTTAAATTGTTGCCGTATCTCTTAGAATGGAGACGATGTCTCAACAAATACAGAAAACATTCAAAACTTTACGCAATGAAACTAATGCTTTAATTCGCCTAAAGCATCATTGCACTTTCTTGCATCATTTCCTCGAAACAAATACAGTCACTAAAGGTCTTCAAATTCATGTGAAACCACAAATTATTGGCAAGAGTTCAAACAGATTCAACAAAAGATGGAATAAAATAACTCACGACGCTTCCATGAAACTCACAGCCCTACTTAGTAAAAACGTAAATCATCAATATCTAGCCAAATCAGCAACCATTGAAGAACTAAAACATCAGCTCAATTCCGTCTCAACAGAAGAACAATTGAAAACGTTTTACTCCAAATTAAATAAAGATGAAAAAAGACTCTCTTCGAAACTATACAAAGTCAGAGAGAGAAAATTTAGAAGTCATGATCTACAACCAATGGACTGTTGTGAAGAAACTTCAATTGACGAAATTTCTTCCAAAAACAACCGTAAGAAGAAAAATCGCCGCAAAAGGAAGAATCGCAAGCACTCTGTAACAAACACTAATGCAACTGTTACTAACACAGTAGTCAACATCTCCAATTTAGAACTTACTGATGCAGAAATAAAACTGTTATCGAAAGGTTTGAGTTTCTGTCCCCGTCCTAAAACATACGACAGAGGGAAGCTTAAGAATGACACCGAAGAATTCATCCGCCGACTAAGACTCAAAGCCCATTTTGCCTTGCAACCACCAAGCAAATCAAAGGAAAATATAAGCTGCGACCAACCCACATTTAGAAAGAAAAGTAACTGGACCCCACCAAAAAGTTCAATTCCGAATCTGGAAGCCTTTATCAACTCGGTTGAAAACGATATTTCCAGACATATCAACCATACTAACAAATATTCTAATTTGACAAAAGAAGAAACAGATGCCCTGCACTCACTGAAAAGCAGAACAGACATAATAATTAAGCCTGCAGATAAGGGTTCCGCTGTTGTCGTTATGAATAGGGAAGACTACATTAGTGAAGCAAGTAGACAACTAAGTGACGCTAGGTTCTACCAAAAACTGGACCATGATCCAACGCTGGAATATGCAAAAATCATCACTAATGTTATTGACGAGGCGTACCAAAGCGGACACATAGACCAGCAAACCAAAAACTACTTAAGCCCAGAAAACCCAAGAGCAGGTAGATTTTATCTTCTACCCAAAATCCACAAACAAGGAAACCCTGGCAGACCTATAATCTCAGGTAACGGGCACCCCACAGAAAGGATATCAGAATATTTAGATCATTTTATGAGACCACATGTCCACAAATTACCATCATATCTTCAAGACACGACAGATTATCTCATAAAAAGCAAAGCTAGTGAACCATTACTGCCAGATACATTACTTGCTTCCTTAGACGTCACATCTTTGTACACCAACATACCGCACAACGAAGGGTTACAGGCATGCAGCGAAGCATGGGAAACAAGAACTGTAAACAATCCACCCACACACTTCTTAATCCAACTCCTGGAGCTTGTCCTAAAACTCAACAACTTTGAATTTAATGAAGAAAACTACCTACAAATCAATGGAACTGCAATGGGTACTAAAATGGCCCCTTCGTATGCTAACATTTTCATGGGAAAACTTGAGGGAAAGCTCTTAGCATCGGTTGAGCGTACACCATACCAGTGGGTACGCTTTATCGATGATATAGAAATGAAGTGGCAGTATGGAAGAGAAAGTCTGGATGACTTCATTTCAAAGGCAAACAACTTCCATCCTTCAATAAAATTCACGGCAGAAATTTCCAACTCAAACCATGTTTTCCTGGACACAACAACCAGACTGGTGGAAAACAAATTACACACAGACATCTACTCGAAACCAACTGACAAACACCAGTATCTTCTCCCAACCAGCTGTCATCCAAAACACTGCATTAAGAACATTCCATATAGCCAGGCACTGAGGATACGCAGAATTTGCTCCGACGATGAAAGATTCATAGAAAGGTCTGAAGAGCTGGCTAAACATTTAATTTACCGAGGCTACGACAAAGACCTGATTGCGGAGGCAATCCAAAGGGCCAAACAAACAAACCGTGATGACCTACTCAGATATGGACAGAAAGAAAAGGTTGATAGGATACCATTTATTCTGACCTATCACCCAGACAATCCCAAAGTAGGTAAAATCATCGCAAACCACTGGCCAACCGTGCAATCGTCAGACGTACTAAACCTAATACTTCCGAACAAACCTGTAGTAGCTTACCGGAGACCAAAAAACCTAAAGGACATCCATCCTAGTCAGGGCCAAGCTAACAACAATCGCTAGTCAAAACCAACCTAGTCAATCTGGACCCTGTGGCGATAAAAGATGCAAAACCTGTCAACATATGATAGAGACCAAGACATTCACTAGCACAGTGACTAAAGAAAAACTAAACATACATGGTCCAAACAAAACGTGCAAAACAGAGAATGTGATTTATCTCATCACATGTAAGATCTGTGGCCTTCAGTACGTGGGAGAAACTGAAAAGCTACACATAAGGATAAACCTTCATAGATCTGATTGGATGACAAAAAAGCTGTACAGAAGCCCGGTCGCAGAACACTTCTCCTCCCCTGGCCACACTTTCAGTGATATAATACTTATCGCTATTGCCAACAACCACAGCTGGAGTTCCGAAACCAGGAAGGAAAAGGAATCATACTGGATACGCCGCCTTAGAACATTGAAACCAAGCGGTCTAAACCAAGAAGACTAGAAAATGAAAACTATGCACTAGTAGAATTTAACATTTTCTAAATCTTCTTATCCTTCAATTTTTACTATAAGAATAACCGGTATAGAACCAAATATCCGGGATATAATCTGCGTTACATATGTACACAAAATAAAAATAGATGTCGCTTTGGCTTGTAGACTTTTAGGGAATTATACAACGTTTTCAGTTTCCGCAACTAGTCTACACAAGCTGGTTGTATTTATAGTTTTAACACATGTGAAGATAGAAATGTAGAGGTTTACAAACGCAACGTTTTTGTGTTTATTTGTTTGTCGTAACTATGTTTTGTATTTGCCTTTGAAAAAGACTCATTAAGAGTCGAAAGCGCTTAGGCTAGTTAGTTACTAGTTTCGTACTGTTCGTCGTCAGTTTATTGCATCTATATATATATATATATATATATATATATATATATATATATATATATATATATATATATATATATATATATATATGAATCCATTTTAAACATTTTCGACCGATTACATATAACCGCTATTTATATAAAAATTGTTACACACGTTAAATGGTCGGAGATGGTAGGACGCGCAATGACGCGTTGTTCTTGTGCATTAATGAAGAAAAGCTTGCATCGGCTTGTATATGGCATCCAACAAAATAAGGAAACGACCGTTGCCGTGTGACCTGCAAAATAAGCTAGAATATGTTTTGGTCAGTCATGCGCGGTAAAATACGTACCTTAAATACAAGTTCATTCCGGGAAGACACAAGAAGTGATATCAATTTATAAGCAGTATTCAAAATACTTTTCTTAGAAGCATCATAAGAACAATATACATGATATATGACAGATAGTTTTGTTAGATTACGATATTTAAGGATGCAATTGAAAGACTATATAATGTCCGATTCTCATTATTTCAAACAACATCAATACTGTAAATATACTGTCTTGTAGAAGAAGAATTTTTGATAACATTGATAATTGCATACTCCATTGTAACACATAGGCAAGCTCATATCATCTATAAACTTTGTCTGACTCTCAACTGTTGCAGCTGTGGCCTAAGTGGTTATAGCGTCCGCCTCGGATGAGGGAGGTCATGGGATCAATCCCTGGCTGAGTCATACCAAAGACTTATGAAAATAGTACTTATAGCTGTCTCACTTAACACTCAGCATTAAGAGGTTAGTGTTAGGACTGGTCGGCCTGGTGTCAAGATAATGTGACTGGGTGGGACATCATGCCACATACATGTCTGCGGCATGATTCCCCAGTGCTAGTCATCACTTTAAACTGCCACACTGCAGACACCGTAGCGTTATGACTGAAAATTATTAAAACTACGTTAAAAACCCAAATCACACGCACGCACACACACACACACATACACACACACTCAAGTCCTGTTTAATATTCTACATTAATTTGTCGGTTACTCGGTCACTTGTCCGAATTACGTGTTCGTACATTTCCAAGCCGACAGACGTCATAACTGGCAAACAATACATGGCAAAACGTAGGCAACGTAATATATCACCATAAAGAAATTGGCACTTTATTTTAAGAAAAAAGTACCAAAGAGAGCTCGAATGAAGTTTTGCATGAAACAAAAATCAAACCAAACGAAACATTTGTCTATTCTCACGCTTATATCAAAATGTTAAAATCTGTGCTAAAAATGCACAAATAGGAAATCCTATGGAATGATGTCAAGATCTGTGCTTAGAATGCAAAAATAGGAAATCCTATTGAGGAAGAGGGAGGAAGAGGAGGTAGAGGGAGGGAGATGAGGGAGAGGGAAATGGCGGGAGAGAGGGAGGGGGAGAGAAAAAGAGGAGAAAAGAGGGGGAGTGGAAGGGAGAGGGAGGGAGAGGAGGGAGAGGGAAAAGGAGGGAAAGGGAGGGAGGAAGAGGGGAAGGAGGGAGAGAGAGGGAGAGGAGAAAGAAGAAGAGGGGAGAGGAGAGGAGGGAGAGGAGGGGAGGGAGACAGAAAGACGTTCAATCGATAACAACTAGGGAGAGAGAGAGGAAGAGAGGGAGGGAGGGAGAGAGAGGGAGGTAGAGAGAAGGAGGGAGAGGAAGGGAGAATAATGAGAGGGAAAAGGAGGGAAAGTTAGGGAGGAAGAGGGAAAGGAGGGAGAGAGGAGGGGGAAAAGGAAGGGAGAAGAGGTGAGGGAGAGGAGAGGAGGGAGAGGGAGAGGAGGGGGAGGGAGAGAGAAAGACGTTCAATCGATAACAACTGAATGGCGACCACAATTCCATTACACAGCCTCATTTGTTTGTTAAAATGATGTGAGGCATGTTCACCTCATGTAGTCACTATACAGTATTTAGCCAATAAAATGCCAATAGTCGGCTACGAAGCTGAGCTAGACACGTATGGCAGTAGACATGTTGGTTCAAGGCAAGTCGAATATCTCAAAATCTGCCTGGATGACAACTATTTTTAATTGCATCAGGCTATTGACCACGTTTTGTTTTAATTAACCATGAAATAATTATTTCAGGAAAAGGGTTTGTGTTTGGCACTATGAGCATCAATATTATCAAAAATGACCTTCAGGCATGAAAAATGCATGTATAAATTTGGATGTGGGATGCATTAACATTATTTTTGATGAATTTCAACCGACTTGTCTGGTCAAGTGAATGATATTCTTGTGTTTTACTTTATGATACCTATCAAAAATATGGATCTTTTGATTTCACTCTTGACTTATTTTTTATGAATTTTTATATTAGGCAGGTGAGTGCAACATTACATTTGTGCATAAAAATTGTCCCTTGCACCCGAAGACTTGCTTTATATATTCTTTGAACTACTGCGGATCAGCGTTACTCCCAAAACATGACAACGATTTTATGACACCAGCGGCAGCAGTTAATAGTCTTTTACTACCACAGAAATTATGAAGTATGTTGAAATCTACCTTCTTTTTGCTTCTCGGGCTACACCTTAAGGCGTCATGTGACCATATGTACTCGTTGTTAGGGTTTAGTTTTAGACGGGAAAAACCCAAACTTTACCTTCTACCATCTTTCGGCGCAATTTCTCCCTTTACAACATTTAACATAGTCTTAATTTCAGTATATTTCAACATTATGAATTGGACAGGAAAAATAGAAATAAATTCGAAGAAATTTGTCAAATTTTATTTAAAGAAGGTGCTCCTTGATGTGTGGCCCTAATTTTAAATACTAACAAGATTAAATAATTAACATTTCGACGAATCTATTTTGTACCTACACTGTAAGGCATGTAAACAAAATTACTGTCTGACAGAAGACGGATGTACATGGTGCAAATAAGATAAAATCATTTTGACGCACATTATTTTAGCTTACTTTTAAATCATGCATTCTCCTTTAAAACTTGCTTTCTACCCATAGGAAACTATTGGCAAGCTTTCTTGAATATCCATGATGGTTGATGGTTGAGGTGAGATGTTTGAGTAATCTGCAAAGGCCATGCATTCTCTCTCTCTCTCTCTCTCTCTCTCTCTCTCTCTCTCTCTCTCTCTCTCTCTCTCTCTCTCTCTCTCTCTCTCTCTCTCTCTCTCTCTCTCTTAAAGCAAGCTTTGGCTATTTCATATCTGTTCGTTAGCTGTGTTGTTTTTCGTTTAAAGCAGTTTCTCAGCACGCGATAGGCTATACCTGGCGGCCAGTATAAATGGCGGAGGATGATCTAGGGAAAAACTCCGCTAAGAACCACCGATCCAGGGGACGCTACCAGCAAGCTTCCCCACTTACCCATGTTGGCCCAACCCGAGACTCAAGACCAAACGGATAGGGGTGAGTTGGCAGTCATCAATAAAGGAGGGCGCTTTAGACCCCTCAGCAATCCGGGGCCCTTGCCTGCTGTAAAAGTTTTATTAAGGGATTTTCTAACTTTATTTGACTGAGGATATCTGAACAAATAAACTAAGACGAAGTCCCAGGAACCATGTTACTTTGCTGTCTAGCAAGGAACTTCCTTGATAGTAAATACATAATATTATCTGAAATAAAAATTGGCTAATTTTAGGCTTAGCTGAGAATCAAATCACTGATCTGCATTTATTCAATATTATGATTATAGTGTATAATTTCTACTTAAAACTTTTGTTTTTCATAGTTGTTCAGTATTTGCGCCGCCAGTATATTTTCCCGTGCTTGCCACTTGTCCTCGATTGTACAAAATTGAATTTTATATATAGTAATGAATGGTGTTACAAAACTGTCACTACCTATACTTTCAGCAACTTTGATATATTTCCATTGCCTAAACTGGAGAATAATAAAATAGAAAATATCTCATAGTATTAGTTATATATACATATTAGGATATTTATGCAACCTGTTAGTACAGCCATATATATTGTTAAGTTACATACTTAGTAAATTCGAGGTATGCTTTCAGTTAAGAATACTTCTGGACAAAACAAATTAGCGTCTAAAATTTGTTTATGCATATAATTATGATATATTCAAAATCACATTATATTTCACCTATATATACCATGGTCAAATGAAGGAGTCTATTGCTCGACCTCACTACTTGATTTAATTTGAGAAAATGGTGAGGGAGCTGGCGCAAACGTATATGAAAGTTATCAGTCTTTAAAAATAAAAACATTGCAAAACGTTTAATTAATTAGGTAGGTGAAACATATTTTCTCCTGTTACTAATAAAAAGTAGCAAAATTATCCCACGAGTCAAGCTAATTAATTCACACATCATATCTACTTGAAGACCGATCAGTCCACGTTGTTTACAAAAAAGGGGGATATTTATTTTGTTATAAAGAAGTCGTTGGTGTCCTACTTATTTTCAATTGTCACGGCTCAACGATAACCACTCAGAGCCGTTTTAAGACGTTTGGGGCTTCTAGGCACAAACACTAAACTGCTAACACAACCGACACCGAAATTTTGTTTTTGGGCCGCCGCAGCCCCCCTCCTTCGGTGCGAAGGCCCTAGGCACGTGCCTCACGTGCCAATACCTCAAAAGGGCACTGCCATCAATGTCTGTTCAAATATATCACTAACACAGTGAGAGACTGTCGGGCTGTGCAGAAAAAGGATGACCAATGTAAACGAAACTAATTACAACACTGAAAGCAGAAACATCTCTACTTTTGATCAGAACATCGTTTTGCATGTCTGGAAATCTGGAACCTGTCCTGCAGCTATATCATTCCTCTTACAGTTCCAAAAGTTTGTTTCTGATTGTTCTTCTCCTCTCCACAGATTCGATAAATGTTTATTATCTTTTCTAATGTAGCTTTGTTCTGTTAACCAACATTTTACTCAAGATTTTTTAATAGGTATTTCGTAAGGACATAGATCTCCAGGTACGTGGTTTCTCCATTATTTTTGTTATACGTGTGTGATTACCCCGTCCATCCGTTTTTTGTTTTTTTTTTTTTTTTTTGGTCCAGGTGATTTGTTTGGATTCAGTTAGTCGATGACCTCTTCTATTTCCTCTACACTAATTTTTTGTTGCACATATTTTTTGCTAGATTTATCTATTTGTGGGAATTCAATTGGGTCTTTGTATTTCCCTATTTGCTGAATTGGTATGTTTTGGGATTAGTACAGTTTAAATTTTTATTATGTAACCTAGTAAATTTTCTTTTCCTTTTATCATATTATCACAGTCTTTAAGTTGGATTATGATTCTTGATGTCCCTTACCTTTTCCTCATGTCGATATACATTTTTCCCTATTTTATATATCGAGTTAAATTTCCCTGCTCCGAGTTGTGCTCCTTTAGTTTTGCCTTTTCAATGATGTTTATGACATATCTTGCTATTTGGATTTGTGTATTCGAAGCTTCTCTATTTTGTATTAAATGTGTGCAATCCTTTGTTATTAATTTGTTTTAAATTCTTATTCTTGCATAATTTTGGGTTAGTTTAATAATTTCCTTCTTTGTGTCTTCTCTGTGTTTTGTATAGTTACAGGGACTATCTTGATCAGTAAGAGGTTTGCTCTTTTTCCATATCTAGTATCGTGTACCCATCCCCATTATTCATACCGGGTATACAGAAGGATAAACTTAAGACGTAATGATCGGCTACACATACGGCCAATATTTTGGAGTGAATTGTGTTTTTGTCGTAGTTTTACTTACATAAAATTAA